TGAAATGATACAGATTAAAAAACATAACAATGCTATGAATTTCAGATCGGATACCGACAATCTTAGCTTAGTATATCATACATTAATTAAATGAAATAAACATAGAATATTAACTAACACCCGGTATATTGAAGAATTTTGCAAACCAAAAATAATATCCTCAGAATGCAAAGAAAAATAGCTGAAAGTAAAAGAAATCAATATAAACAGTATTTTATTCGCTTGAAGGCTTGAAGCAGCAACAACGCTACACGTGTAAGTAAAAATATTTAAGTATCTGAACAAAGAATTCTAGTCTCTTCCCAAATTTGATTGTCCTGACTAATCACCTGTTAGGCCTAATTAAGTTTAGAATGTTTTAAAGTATTGCAATTGTGATGTATTTTAATGTGTGATATGATGAGGCTGTTGACGAACTGTGATTGTATTTTAAAATAATGAAATTTTTTTTACCTATCTGTTATTTTGGAAAAACTGATGATGGTGGAAAAAACACCGGAACGTATTTTAATTGATAAATAGAGACAATAAATGACCAATGAAACCCAGGAACTAATTTTGATTTGTAGAAAATGCGATTTATGCCGTGGGAGGTTTCGACTCAACCACTTACCAAGCCTCCGTGGAAAAGTAAGTGCATGAATAAGCTGCTATTAAATGCATCGATTTGTGATGAGCAATCCGAATGTGTGACTCCAGGTTCGATCCCCGAGAGGGAAAATGGCAATCAATTCCTTCGATGTCCATGAGAAGATCCAGTTGCGGAGTCGGGGCATTAGATGGGTATCTGTACTGTATCGGAGGTACAGACTGTGAGCACCACCATACATGTAATGTAGAAATAAATTGTGTGTGTTTAGGAGGTGACGGAACGGTGTGTATGAGTAGCGGCGAGCGACTGGATATCAGGAGAATGGCATGGGAGCCGATTTCCAATATGAATAGCCGCAGGTAAACACTTTAGCTTTTTGATTGCTCGAACATGCCAAAACTTGCCTTTTAGGGCCACTCATGATGTGGTGTCCATCAGGGACTATTTATTCGCAGTAGGAGGTACGGATGGAAGCTCCAGTGTGACTACTATGGAAGCATATGAGGCCAAATCCAACAAGTGGATTTCAGTGAAGAGCATGTCTTATAGAAGAGGCTCAATAGGAGCGGCGGTGTTGGACTGCATTAATCTAGAACAAGTTTTAAAGCAAACTCGAATACTCAGTTGATCGGTCGAAGAGGGTGAGGAACTTTGGTATACCAGACGTGACTGTCATATGCTAGATATATTCGCAAATCATCAATTCTTCCTTGTTCGAATCCAATTTTCGCTTTTGAGGTTTAAACCAGACAGTCATTTTTTCTTGTGTTATAGATAAAATAATGTTATTATTTTATATAGAAAACAAAAAACGATATTTATATAACTTAATAGCAAATATAGGTACATGAGGTACATCTGTGATAAAGAAGTATTCAAATATACCTCCTCGTTAAGGGAATTAATGCATGGATTATACCAGAGACAAGGGAGACTATTCTGTCTCTGGTCATACTGTTACGCAAAATATTTCTTTTACTGTCCTGTAAGATGACTTTTTGATACACTTTTAATGCGCTACTATTGTCTATCATTATACACACGTTGTTAAAAATACATTATATGTTGCTTATTACCGTCCAAGCGAATGAATCGTATATCGAGTAAGCCAATTAAATTTTTCTTTCAATTTTCCCCTATGTCCATTAGTTCCTTTAATATTAATCTGACAGACATATATTTAATAGAAACGTTGTAGAAAATTGCATTCCAAAGACAATGGCATGAGACATTTCCTTGCATAATGTAGAAAAAATACTGCCTTCTCTTATCTATGAAATTAGAAAAATTATCGTCGTTTTGTGCAAGGGTGGTGCAAGATTATAGCAAAATTTAATGTTTTCCGTCCCGTTTTGCATGTTTCTCGGAAGCAAAATGCGCAAGAACGCTCGTTTTTACATCATTCCAGAGATAACTAAATGGCCTTTATTCGAAGTTTCTCAAAAACCATTCGAGCCACAGAATTCGTTTTGG